TGTATAGATATGTGTTTTTTATGCCCACAAAATGTTTGTGTTTTTTTCTTGAGTGTGTGTTTGTTTTCCTTGTACCCTTGCATGATTCGGATTTTGCCAGGACGCAAAACAAAGAATCTACTTCTTATGGCCTAATTTGACACTATCGCTTTGTGATACACACATACATACATGAATATTGATGTAGCCAAAGATGGTTGGCATAAACCAGTAAATGTATGGTATGGTACGTTACTTGGGTGGTATAGTTGATATAAGATTAGGTAGCATATTTTCCAGTCAGGACTTTTGCTGACTATAACATGTAAAAAATGAAATAAAACTAAACAAAGAAGGTATCATTGCAATACATTAGGCAAAGAAGATCATCTGGGATGATGGTTATGAGTTGTACCTCCTTTGAACTCTGTCCAAATGTTAAATATTATGAATGAATCATGGGGTCATCCCTCCTCTGAGTCTTATTACTTTTCAATTCTAAGAACTAATTAACATTTAAAATAGGTTAAAAATGTCAATTTCTAGTGCTATATGAATGACTTGAAGGAGTGACTTTATAATGACATTGATTGTATGATCATGTTTATGATTACTTGAACATGCTTCAAAAATTCAAACTTTTGAAAGAGTTATGATTGAATGATAGGATGAAATTATCAATGACTTAAATGAAATGAATGTATTAATTTTTTTATTTATACATATTGCCTAATTTACTACAAATGCATCTCTGAAAAAATGCATTTTTAAAAAAGATCACAGACTTTCCAATTTAATGGACTAAACAGGTGGAAACCCGTTCTGATACTCAGACCATCTCTGCTATGCACAAGAATGTTCTAGAAGGAAACTGAGTGAAGGCTGTGATATCTCACGATGGTGGAAACCTGTAAAATGGCCATAAAATAAAATGACTTGTCACAACTATTTAAGTATATTTTATAAGATCGGAATATTTGGGTGCATTTGACATTATAAATCATAGTTATTTGCTTGCAATATGAACAGATTATTAAAACAAAGTATTTTTGATTCATATTTCAAGGAATTTCAATTTTCATTTTCTAACGAGGTTTAGGCCTGCTCAACTCACTCTTTTTAAATGATTTAAAACTTTCAGATTTGGATGGATTTGAAAATCCTTGAATGTACAAAGTAATTTGCATGTCAAAAGATTTGTCTATCATGACATTAACTCATTACCTTTATTTCTGCAAATGGGATTTTATTTATTCCTTGTAACAAAAGAGCTACATGTGATATGGAGAGAGACTAGACTTGTATTCACGAATGCAACGAATGCCTGTCAGCTATCGGATTAACCTACTACTTTATGGGTAACTCACTATTCCATTCACATTTAAATGAATTGGTCATGAAATAGTAGGTTAATCCGGTATACGATAGGTGTTAGTTTCATTCGCAAATACAAGGTAGGACTGTGTTTTTGAACTGCCCCCGAAATAAGTACAATGTAACAAGTCATTTTATTTCGTATATTGCATAATATTTAATTAGAGAACAATGAGCCTCTGCATTGCAAATTACATGGTGACACATTTTCAACAAAAACAGCGCTTTCAAGCGCACTTACACCGCTAATTACGATGTGTCAATCTTGTCAACCGCATCGCCTAGTTGCTAGTGCACCACAGGATTGCAATAAACTGATGTCTTTCAAAAGAATTATATGACCGAAGTGCGCTTGGATGAACTATTTTTGTTGAAAACATATGAGCATGTAATTTGTACTGCGGGGCTTATTGTTCTTTTTAATGATATCTGGGTGAAAACTCATTTAAATATTACGCAATTCACTAGCACCGCGTTCATCAAAAACGCAGCCTAGAGTGGGTGGTTGATTATTTCATGCAATGCAATTATATGAAAAACTGTGATCTGATTAGCTTGAATAGGACACACCTCTTTGTGAATAAAATACTAAGTTTGATAAGGTGACCATGATCATATTCTCAATACTTGGTTTAATATAACTTTGAAGTTTGCATTTCATCTGCCAAGACCTGATTAATTAAGTGAAATTCAGATTTTTTAATGTTTAGTGTTTACCCCTATTTTTAGTCAAAACTCCCATTTTCAAAAACCTAATTTTTTCATATAATTCCCTGATTTCATAACAATTGAAAATAACTAGATCTAGGTGATGTCATGTTGTCATGTCACTTGGTCTGATATTTCACACTTATTGACCAGAATTACACATTGTAACACACAGTGAATCCTCTTTATACTGAACACAATGGGATAAAACTTGTCACATTGAGATGCTCAGAAGTGTGATTGAGTCGATATTATCTGTGACTGAAAAAACACCCTACTATTCCTTGCATTTGGTGTTCACGAGCAACCCATTTGGCTTATCAGTACTGATTATGTGATTTGTTTTTTATGTGTCTGTTTCTTATGAATGGTTTATAAGATGACTGTTAGATATTAATAAGGTACTTTCAAAAATAGAGTTACCAATACAATTAGACTAACAGAATATCTTATGCATTTCTAGGGGTTAGGTATAGAAGAGTGAAATACCTTAAATGGTACCTTAAAATTAACTGTTCCACTCGGGAGCTGTTTCACATGAGATATTCATTTATAACATTGATTTAATAGGTAGCTTGGGATATGTTCTACTTGAGACTGGGAGGTTCATCATTTATTTACATTAATTTGGTGGGTAACTTAACTTTTAAAAAAGTGTTTACTTCTAGATGACTTTGTTCTTGGTGTTCCGTTTTCCAAAAACAATTTAACAAAATAATTCTTGTTTATTGTTCTAAATTATTGGTATTTCCAAGTGTTCATTCTAGAGAGGTGTTCGTATGCATAGGTTTTACTGTACAAAAATAACTTGCACTCATGGCACAGGCAGTTACAAGAATATCAAGTTATCAACTTCGGGGAACTATTTACTAAGTGAACAAACATGCCTTATCACGATTTTCAACCAGGAACTTAACTTAGTAGAACTCTGTGTCTGATATTCTGAGCTGAAGTGTCATATGCCCAAATATGGTATACCTGACCATATTTAGGTCACAGATGATGTGCTGATTTGCATAAATATCCAGGGTGTGTTGTAATGCTGGTTTATAATTGATTGATCAAGAACCTTAAAAAGTTAAAATTTAACTACTAAATTACTTATTCACTAATTACTGAATCATTATTGAATGATGTAGAAAATAATATTTAACTAATTCATACCCATCACATCGCATTGAAAATAGTATTAATGTGACATTATCATACTTTCGGTCAAAATGTAGTAACTAGAGTTTAAAAGTTTAAAGCTAAAGATGTAAAAACCACCTGATATATTTGTGTCAGTTACCTTGGTTGTAAATGGGTCAAGGTTTTTATACAGGGTGGTAAAAGAAATTGGAACATTTGTTTATTGAACACAAAATCTTTATTTTTCCTGTAAAATGCACCAAAACTTTACTGATTATAGTTCAGTCACTCATCTATTTCCTGTAAAGTTTATAGGTACAAACAATAAAGTTAATGCATTAAACTTTTAATGTTTGATATGACCCCTCTTCTCCTGAATTACAAGTTCAAGCCTGGAATTCAGTTTTGAAATTATTCATTCAGTTTACTGTTTGTTTTTGTCCAAGTCATATTGATTAACATTTTCAGCTTCCTATAATGTTTACCTTGGAAGATCAAATCTGGTAACATATTCAACATTTGTTAAATTGATGGGTATTAAGCATATTTTGATGGCTATTGTTGGGTATAACTGATGGAATATTCTTCTCCAGAAAGAGGCCAGGGCAGTCTGTTATGACTGGTAAATGAGCCCCCCCCCCCCTTAATTGTTCTAATATGAATAATATTCATTGAATATATAAAGGACAAATTAAGGTTTTGCGTTCAATTAACAAATGTTCCAATTTTTTGGACCACCCTGTAATTATATGATTTGAGGATTAACATGTCAATCATAAATATACCAGATTTTCTTGTTATAAGGGATGACAATAAGCTATTTCAATCAGTTTGTCAAACATCACTACTATTTACCTTTTATATGAAGAGAATATGTATAAGGTTATATAAGATTTATTACTTAAAGATCTAACATACATTATATACATAGTTTTGCATGGGGACTCGGCTATCTATCCAGAAGGAGCTTACGTAATTGTATCCAAAAAAGGAACAAATATGGAATCATGTGATAATGTTGTGCAATAAAAACAAAATCACATGATTACGTAACATAGTATAATTATTAATTTTTGGGATATAAGCCCAAAATCAAGTATTCTTATAAACGAGAAAGTGAATTCAATGAAAATTGCTCCGTGAGTGATAGGATACCCGTTCCCCTCCAAGAGAGTTACAATTTTACATAATAAGGATTAACATCAGTAAGAAATAGAAATTAAACACACACACCATGTTTCTAAATAATTGTGTGTTTTAATCCTGTTTATTTCAAATTGAAAGGTTCAATATTCGTAAAGTTACGACTTCTCTACTGAGGGGCAATTTCTAAACTAAAAACTTCATTGTCAGCAAGTATTTGACAAAAAAGAACATTTTTTGGTTCTACGCCATTTCTTAATTTATGGACGAATCTTTGTAGAATTTGAAATACAATTGAGCTAAATACATATTGTGTCCTACTCATGTTGGAATTCAAAAATTCAAATTACAATTAGAGAAAAAATAGCTGAAATTAGTTCTAGTTTTTCTGCCGATGTTTGAAAAAATATGATGTTATTCCATGTAGGTTTTGAAGAAACAAATTGTTTAAACTGTACAAGTCAAAAATAAAATTCAGATAGAGTGCCTCTTGGGGACGAGCTTTCATGATGTAAAAACCCTGTGTGTGAAATAATTTGCTCAAGTTTATGTAATTTGACTTAAATTGCAAGTGTTGCTCATCTTTTAAGATATATGGAATGAATGATTATAACAGCTTGCAATTTAAGATCATTGTTAGTACAATTTAAAGTCAAATTGATGTTATCTTTTACACTAGGTGCATCATATACAGTGTGTCTCAAAAATACACAAACAAACATAAAGATTGTGAAATCACAAAATCAGTGATACCAGTGTAACTACATCAATTCCATTTAGTCTACCTTAAAACCATATGTCTCCTCTTTCCAATGACAAGTCATTTATTCATATGTGACAATGGGCAACTGAATAATCATTCCTTTTGAACAATGGTGTAAAGTCTGCTCTGTACCAAGTTTTAGACATTGAACAGCCATAATGATTTACCTGATCTCATGATAAGGACCAGGTGATTAAAATATTTCATATCTTGGCACAAAGGCCTTTTCACCGATGTGCGAAAAAAGCTTTTTTGCAAAGATAGTCCACAAAAAGAGTTTTTCTATTTGTCCTTTTGAATGGGATAAAATCATCTAGTTTACATCCACCAATCGACATATACGCCTTACACAAGACTTCAGTTTAGATGGAACACTTTTGTCAATTTAGATTACTTGGAATGTTTAGCCCTGTGATCTTGTTCCTTCTGTATTCCAATGTGCTCCAAGAATGTGTTCAACATGTCCAAGTATTCATCTGGATGGTGATACATGTGAGTCACATGTGGAGATACGTCCCAACGTTTCTCGTGAACTTCAATTCCTTGTTCTTTCCACCCATCAATAACCTCCTCAATTTTGGTATAGCTACTTACGATATCGGATTTCGAATACAAAAACATAGATGGCGTTCTCTGTTTGTTTGCTATGACTGTATCCTGTGATAGTTCATAACATGTCATGACTTGTTTTTTAAAGATGCCCAAATACAGTTCCAATGTCCCTTTGATTGTTGCTCGGAGAATTGGGTTAGGGGTCATCGCTTTTGAAACACCTCCTGGGATACCTTTGTAGTCCACAATACTGTCGAAGATTTGACCTTGTATGCTATTTGCGATTGCGCGATATTTGTCCCCACCTTGTTTCAGTTTTACAAGGAATTCACCATACAGATATCCACCAACAGAAAACCCATGAATCAATAGTGGATTCACGATGTTTTTGTTTTTCTCTTCATCAATGTACTCTAAAGCTTGTTGGACAACTTTCTGGGCTTGAGTCGGCCAAAGAAGTTGTTTCGGTTCAACTTTGAGTGTCAAAACATCATAACCTTTATCGAGATAGAAATCACCATATTTGGAGATATGCTGCGATTTTGCGAGGAGCCAACTGAAAATGACCACCAAGGGGCGATTATTGTCATTTGATGCTTCAATTGTGCGGAAAGTCATATTATTGGAAATTTTCTCCATTTTGGCATCGCTCGAGTCTGTGGACATTCTCATACACATACCTGGTATAAGTGCCTGGAAAAAAAGATAATCATATTAAATTTTTCCCTAAGCTCTCATTAGCTTACAATACCCTAAGAATATTACGTAAGATTTTATAATTTTATATTCTAATAATGATAAGGTCATAATGATTTTATGATATATTTTTTTCATGATATATTCTTTCATGACATTTTATCATTTTTGAATGTAAAATGAATGCTACAATTCTATTAAATAAAAAATGTTAGGAATTATCTCATGTTATTGTAAAGAATAAATGTTTAAAATTGCAATATGTTTTGATACCATTTTGAAGGTATTTCTGGAATACTAACACCTGAATCCTTCTGAAGCTTACCCTATTACGCCTGAATCATAACCTCAAGAGATATTCACATGGGTTTGAATAAGGGGAGAACAATCAAAGATAAAAATGATAAATTCCTCATTTATTTAAAATGCATAAAATATTCAGGGAAATAATATAATTTTATTAAATGTCTGAAAATGCTAATTTTCTTTATGCAGTATATTCAGATATTAGAGTAGAATAGGGGGTACAATGGGTCACTCATTTAAAAATCTGTAATTGGAGACTATTTAGATTTTTAACAACAAAATAAATTCAAAGACTTGCATACAGTGTACTTATACATAAGTACCCTTTTTATACTTAACTTTATACTAATAGATGCCATTTCGTGTCAGTTTTTGTTATTATTATTATTGTGTATTATATACCTAGAGACGCATTTGTATTGGAGTCAATGGAGCTGAGTGTCAGCTATATATTCCTGTATAGCTGTCAAACAGTTCCCTGTAAACAAGTGAGAAAGTACAAAGTAAAATTTCAATTGCATCATGTCAATGCTCCAAGCTTGCAAGCTTGTGCTATATTGACAACCAGACCTCAGGCATATATTCAATGATAGGGACTTAAAAATAAGTTGTTCACCAGGAGGGATTTGATATGGGGAATATCACAAGGATGATATCAATATTCTCAGCCTGAGGGAACGCAGTGACAGAGGGAAATATTGATATCATCGGAGGGATATTCCTCATATCATCCCGACAGGTGAATAACACCCTTGTACCATGGTCAAGAGCAATATCCACCTTAAATCCAAAAAACAAATTTTTGAAAAAATGAAAATTTTAAAAAAAATGGAAATGATTTTTAACACACGTTTCTCTTAAATCAGTCATCAAAAAATTCTAAAAATATTACACATCATCAATTTAATGGTCATCTTTTGAATGGTAACAATATAATTTGAAAAAATGTATATACTTTTCTCTATATTGTTTTAGAAAACACATCAAACACTTTTTTTGTTTTGTTCTTGATATCATATGTTCAGAATGAAATGAAACATCTTTCCTCACCTCATTGGAACAAAACGACATAAACACATGTTTAGGTCTCTCAATATTGTAATTGTACAAAGGAAATTTTGGTTGATTTTAAAAAAGTATCTTGTTAATGAAATAAAAGGTTTATCTTGATTTTTATCTATTTTTGGGGGGTTTTGTTTCAATTTTTTGAATACTTCTTTAAAATCAACCAAAAATTCCTTTGTATATGCTGTTTTGTTCTAACAAGGTTCGGAAAGACATTTTATTTTCTTCTCAAGAATTGGTAGAAAGGAGCAAAAACAATTGCACTAAAAAAACAAAAAATGTTAACAAAAACAGTTCTATAAAATATTTCTAAATGATTCTCGCATTAAATTGTTGTCAATCAGTCAACATTACATAATAGAACGTGTTTTTTTACAGAATGTTTTCAATAATTGGTTGAAGAGAAAAACAATGTTGGATTCAGTTCACCATATCGATACCTATCCTTTTTGAGAAAAATGAAAAATTTGAAAATATTTAAAATTTTAGAATATATACCCATGTTGATATCCATATCATCCCTCACATTATACCTCTGATCCCAATATCCCCAATATCAGTCCCGATCCCAAATATGTGATTTATCACTTGCTATTATATACCTGATATTGCTCTGTCCATGGTATAATGGCTATTATCCCACCCTAAGTGCTTTATATGATTGTATAATAGCATTGTATAACTGCAATATAAAACCAACACTCATCGTATACAACTCTTGAGAACGATATACAACTCCTGGATAGCGTATACAACTCCTGGGCAGCATATACAACTCTTCGAATCGATATACAACTGCTGAATTTAGATTAACCTCTTATTAATTAAAGATTAGGGTGGGATGATAAGATCATATAATGGTTGATTTTGTATATCGCTATACTCTCGTGAGTATATGATATATTCACTCGTTCCCTTCGGTCACTCGTGAATATATCATATACTCACTTGAGTATAAACACGATATACAGAATCAACCATTATATAACCTCATAATATACATTTTTTTGAATGAATAAATAGATAGATGATATCAGTATAAGAAGGAAAGGCTTACCTTTGTAGCATTCCAGGTCAGTTTGTTTCCATTTCCAAATATTTTCTTGAATACAGACATGCTGCTATAACAGTATAACATCTATGTCAATATAAATAAAAATATGTAATTGAATTTTTTTATTGTTTCTGAATAATCACCATGTGCTTGGCTCAGTCTAGACTTTTTATGGCGTACACTATAGCTGCATATGAATATATTATGAAGCTCTAAATGATAAAAGACCTTCAGAAGATGTATTGAAAATGTTTTACATTGATACATTAATGCACTAATCTCATTGGGCCCTCAAATATGATCAAATTGGAGTTACATGTATTATTATACAGCTACAAAATCAATCAATGAATTGCATTTCTATCACACCATATTTTTGTATCCTTGAACTTTAACTCCATGACCTGAGATAGCATCTTTCAGTTTTCATGCACCAAAAATAAAAGACTAGTTTTAATCAGGTTTTATATCAGGTTTTGAAGATCATCTTAATGTTTTTATCATTTTTTGTTTAAATAGATGGGTTAATGTATAATGTAATTGTACAATTTCTCTGTTTGTATCGTTAATGATTAATCGACCCCCATGTGGATGGTAGGATAGGCTGCAATGTTAGGTCAGTGTGACTGAGATAAATTATGCTAATAAACAAGCCTCTGTATATGGTCATGGTGACCATATTTGGAGAGATTCTGCGAAGTTTGAAAAGATCTGTGAACCTTTTGAGAAATTTATACCTTCCTTAAAATTTTCTGAAAAGTAATATTTATATGTTTGTCCAGTGTTTTAATGAAACTCCTACAAGCAAACAGATGTGTGTAGTTTGACAGAATGAACAAATACTTGTTGTTCAATGCTGAATAAGTAAATAAGTGGGAAGTTTTTACATTAGTTCAAAAGAGAAATTATTGTAGCTTAGAGTGCCTCCAAGTCACGGCAACATTTTTCAAAAGTTACTTTATAGGATAACATTGGCATTACAAAATATTAAAACGTAAGTTAAATACATCGAGTCATGGGTTTATTTTAAAAATATGTGCAAATTTTTAGAACACATATGCACTGCGGTACTTCAGAATATAAATGTTTTTAAAATGCTTATTCAGTTTTGATGAAGCCACCAGAAGTGCTGATATATTGTTATAGTCTCCAATTTTTTTGTGGATGGTGTTGTTCGATGTCTGGGACAAATGGCAGGTGGTGACATTTTCCATTTTAATGCCTTGTGACTTAATATGCATTCAGTTTACATTTTTTGCTGCAGGAGTTACAATTTCCCAGATAAGTTGTTACCAGAAGGGTCCTGATGTTGGAGGTTTACTCTGTTATGATGCCAAATCAGTTTCCATTTCCATGGCAACAGGGTTTGTTTCCCCTAGCAACCACTGGAGATGTATACAGCCACATCAAACAGTCAAAAATAGGTACGTAAAAATGTTATCTTTTTTTTGCAATGAGTGTTTAGGTCAATTTCTTCATGTTGAGGAACTTAAGAATGGGAAGATTATAACTTGTGAAAATTACCTCGGATCCCTCATCCTCCAAACATTGTGTTCGGAGGATGCGGATCCCTGGGAGATACACATATTTCCCTTAGGATAAACCCTGTATTCAAAGCCAACTGTACTTAAAATATGGTCCTACTGATGTATATTCTTCTAACATTCCAAAATTTGAAAAAAACTTAAAGGTGTAACAATGGGTGCAGAGGAGCCATTCAACGATCATGGACAAGTGTCAAAATATATTTAAGTTTGGTTATTTCTCCAAGACTAACATATATTTATATTATTTCCAAAGAAACCCCCTGGATGAACATTATTTCAGCTGATATTCCTCTTAAAACATGGTGAATCTTAAAAGTCTTTAAGTGGGACTCCCTCTGCACTTCTTAATGTTGAAATTGATAGTTATCCATACATTTTAAGAAAAAAGGTATGTCAAAGAAGATGTTAAGCCAAATGTTTCCCTGATAGCTCAGAAAAAGTAAAATATTTCGAATTTTCTCTCTACAGGCCTTGTTGCCCCTTCAAGGTCCAATATCAGATTTGAGGTTATCATTACACAGTGCTCTTCCAACATTTAAATTACTGAGATGCAGCATGTCGATGTATTTCAAAATACCCAAATTCTCGTCAATACAATTGAAGCCTCCTAAAAATTTAGGAAATCTTGAAATCCTGCTCAAAAATTATAAAAATCTATAATATTGCAAAATATCACTTTATATTTTCTCTATTGTTTTATTGAATATTAATTCCTCAGTGGGAAGTTATGTTTTTTGTTCAACGCTTTTTTTCATTTTTTAATTCTTAGTTTCTAATAATAGTATATGATTGTTACTATATGTCAATAATATTTTCAATCTTCAGATTCTGCATATTTCATGTAAATTGGAGATAATATGAATATTTTAATAATATTTTTTTAATAAATTTTAATATATACTTATAGTTAGATAGTTTCATTGTTTGATTTGTCAAAGTAAGAAAATGAAGGAACTGTTCGATAATTAAGAATTTTCTTGATTAAACCTAATTTATAATTCTAGTTGTAGATTATAATTTGGCTCAAATATAGGGAATATAATCAAGTTTTAATATATATGCTGTTATGTCAAAGTAACATTGGTAATATTTTAGGCTTTCACCAATGTAACAAAAGTGAAGGACTGAATATATGAATTGTGGCTTCTTTTAAAAACAAAATTCCAAACCAAATGTATTTTATTAGACTCTATTCTCTGACTTCGAGTCGAAATATAATCTGCAACTTGACTTATGAAAACTTTTAAATCAAGAAAATAAAATATCTTACCAAACTTGAACTAAGTTAGTTCCTCCATTTTTCTTTTACTTTGATTAACTTTTTTTAGTGAGTTTTCCAGTGAGTTTTTATCAAAATACAAAGTGAGCAATCAACTTGTCAAGTAAAACATAAACTATTATCAAAATTTTTTGCTGACAAATTTTGCTAAAATAATTATTTCACCACCAGAAGTGGCATCTGTAACATTTTGCACGTTAATGCCTTGTTTACTATTAATAATATATTTGTGTGTATACTTAAGTAGTATATAACAGATATCAAAAATATGCATTAATCAAAATCTTACATGCCCAGCCTATTGCCAGGTATAGTCAGTCTATACCAAAAGTATACTAAAAGTATACCTTGTTGATAGGTCTATACTGATACCAGACTGATACCGTACCAATTAATAGGTATATATACTGAATATAGATCTGTAAATAGGTATGAAGATACTGAATATACTGAAAGTATAGCTGTTTTACTTATGATTTTCAATAGTATACTGAAAGCATACCAAACAAACTCTGATAAATACTGAATATACTGAAAGCATACCAGTTTTACTTATGATTTTCAATAGTATACTGAAAGCATACCAAATAAACTCTGATAAATAATGATTAGACTGAACGTATACCAGTTTTACTTTATCATTTTATAATATAAACGGCAAATGCAAAATTCATGATAAAACGATAAGTCAACAATTATTCATATGTAAGTTCTACTTTATGACCATTTGTTTCCACAACCTGTCCTACCAGACTAGGTGGCAGGGGAGCAGTCCTGCTCATAATTACATTGAATGTTTTATACATTGAAAACACAAAAAATGAGAGAAAGATATGAAAGATACAGTCATAGTAAAATTTAAAAAAGAAATACAGTTAAAATTTGAAAATTAAAACTTTGCATCAAAAATACATCATGAATAAAACTTGAATATAGTTAATATAAGAATATTAACTTATTTGTGGTATGTCTTTTAGAAGTCTTCATAAACCTGCATCTAATTAATTAGATAATGTAATGCTAGAAAATAAGACTGCTATCCAAATTACATGTACTAATTTTTCTCATCTGCAGAATTATTTAAAATTTAAGGTATCTCATAGGTAGAGTAATATTCATCCATATCAGTCTACAGACTGACATGTTAAGACTGTCAGTATAGACTAAATGTCGACCTATAGGTATATACTGATACCATACTGAAAGTATACCTATACATATATACTGAATGTATACCTATTGGTATATACTGAAATTATACTGAAACCATACTGGTATGTATATACTGAAATTATACTGAATGTATACCTATTGGTTTATACTGAAAGTATACTGAAACCATACTGGTAAGTCTAATTACCATAATTGAAACATACCTGTCAATGGAATTTTAACATGGGACATATACTGAAAGTATACTGAAACTAGACTAAAAGTTGACCTGTCAGTATAGACTGAAAGTATACCTGTCAGTATATACTGACCATACCTGGCAATGGGCTGGGTGTGTAGACAAATTGTCCTCAGATAATTTATTATTCATATGATATTACATGTATCAAATAACAGATACACAAAATATGCATTAATTTTTAGTTCATTTCTACATGTACCATAAGCTAAAATCCTAAAATAAAAAAGATTGGCTTTTGGGCTCTCCCTTATTGCATAACTCTCAGGCATTAAGACAAAACATATTTGTTTTTTGATTTACAAGAAAGGGTCACATTGAGAAGTCTGGTGTTCTCTTTTAATGGAACTCTTAACTTCAGGGATAAAAAAATCTTTTTCATCTTATCGTTATTTCAAAGAACTGGAATTTAACTTTTCAGTGGGGAGAATGGTGATATTCATTTTATGAAGCGGGAATGTCTAAATGTTTCTAATAGAAATCATAGTAGTTATTTAAAGAGTATAGGGAAGCATTTAAAATCAATATACCAATACGCGATAACGTTTAGTTTTCGTTCAGTTTAGTTAACTCTCGTTTGAAGAGCTCTCATGTACGGTACAACTTCGTTTACATCCGGGTTCTTTCCCATTGGATTACACAGGGGTGCTATTTTCAATGCCGCACTGCGACTTTATTAAACATTTATGTAGAGTTGCATTTGCACAAATGATAGGTATGTATGTAATTAAGATATATAACAAGGCTTTTTGAACTGAACCAAATCCGAAGAAATCTGTAGTTGAAAATGCCGACCAATTTCAGTGACGTCACTGATTTCCCAAATTGCTCAGACTTCATCGAAGATCGAAAAAATATCAATAATGTTACTTCGAATCTCCGATTATCTTTCTGATTATTCAATAGATTGGATCATATAACTATGCTTGAGGGCTGATAGAAGATCAGAAGCTGAGAAACGTTCAGAGTATTCGACTCGTTCGGTGGGCCAATGAAAATTTGTCCCTTCAAAAGCGATGCATCATGGGAGATATTTATGTAAATTATCACCTGAACTCTTATCGCGAATAGGAGTATTAGAATTTGAAATATATTTTATCTACAATACATGGACATCAGAGAACTGATATTTGCTTAAAAATGGTGTGTATATTTATGTAGATTGGAAAACCAAAAATAGGTAGAGTCATAAGTATGTCTAGGTCTTTTTGATCTGTCTCTCAAACAAATAAAACTGCTATGTTTAATCATTTCTATAGTTTAGAGAAACCTTTACGATCAATTACGTGAAAAATATCAGGACTGCCTGAAAATAATTTTAACAACTAAATTGTATAAAGGCTTTAACCCTCCATTGCTTTATTTTTTCTTTATTTGACATATTGATATACATTTTTGTTTCAGTTTCACTTAACTTAAAGAGTTTGCAAACAATGGAGTAATCTCCCCAGAATTAAAAACGAGTACACGCTGCACCTGTTTGAGATTTTGAAAGAGGCATCATACCTGTGCTGATATTTGCACCCACCTGAAAAGGAGTGTCTTAAATTCAACAGATCCTGTTTCTACTATATCTTAAGATGACTCTAGTTCATGTTATTTAATCAATATTGACGAAGTTATGTTTAACATAAACCACCAATTTTTTTAAAAATTTGACATCCCACATACGAAGCTCTACCCTTATGTATCTGATAGTTTACAAATTAAAACATGTCCAGCAAAACAAATATCATCTGTCAAATAAAAGAAAATATATTTCAACTTTGTGGTGATTTTATAGCATTAGGTCTGTGGGGAATCTCCCCAAAGATTTTGAAAGAAAATTAAATTTTCAGTAGATAATTATCACTTTTTAAACCATATTTCCAAATGATATTTTACATGTAGATTTCAAATAAAATATCACTTTGACTAAATTTTGAAAATTTAATGACACAAATCAAGAATGATTATTTCTCCTTGCATCCAATCTATTGTCTTTGGGTAGAAAGAAGAAAAGTGAAATAAATGTATATAATCCATAGAGACACATGGGCCAAATTATCACCAATGCAGTGTGATATATCTTATATAAAAGTATATTTGGACATTTTGAGAACTTGATCAAGCAATCTTAGCTTTATTTACAACATTATAAAATAAATTTTAATTTTCCAAATTATTTCCACTAATTTACAGTATTGTGTTTATATATCCACACCCTTTGAAAATGAGAAAAAATATATGTGACCGGTCAGAATCATATAATTAGAATTTCACACCCATTTATTACAATTTTACAATTCATAATCCAGTGGACATAGTTAGGTTTTAGTAATCAACTCTATGACCCTTGAGCTGATCTTGGTGAGAAATTGTTTTTTACCAGGTTAAAGTCAAAAATCTACTTATAAATTAGGAACATTACTTCTGTAAGATCAAAATCTGTGGTTAGCTGATTCACAAAGATACGTTCATCTTCTCTTTTTTAGTAAACAAGCTTTGATAATTATGAACTTTTCTATTTTAAGATTTATTTGGCTCACTTGTGTTATCTTTTGACTTTGGCAACTAGGAAGTAATATTATTATAAATCTTTAAATGGCCTCTATTCACGAATATGGGCTGACCTAAAAACTCTAATTTTGAAATAACTTTCCCAATTATGGAAGAATGTTAAAAAGAGTAATTATAATATCATGAACATTGCTGCATTTAGCATTAGTGATAAAACATACTTGTATTAAATATTTATGAACTTGAGCATAGCATTTGAACAGATCTGGCTCAAGGCTTTATCGGAGAATTATTTCTCTCAAAGCTGATGCACTCTCTGTAATATTGTTTTATTTTCATATACGCACCATAAGCATTTTGACTATAGCTTTTGTTCTTTCAACCTTTTCGAAATAAATAAAGGGGAAAGCAAGAGAAACGTGATTTAAAAAGGGACAAATATTTTATACCCCTAAAAACCTGGTGATATCAAAACCATCAATATTATTTTACCAACCATGTTTTTATGACTAGTACAGGCTTTTGGAGTCAGTGTCTGTGATATATTGTTACAATTCTGTAACTGTAACCAAGTGGTGACATTTTGTCATGTAAATTATGCTTGAAGAACTATGATCTGATTAATTTACAAGTGTTAAATGTAATGGCATAAAAGTTATCATATAGAAGAAATGATACCCTAAAACTTCTTTTATACCATGTTATTATGATCTCCCTAGGTTCGAAATTAACTTGAGAATTTGAAAATTGCCCTGCATCCAAAAGAAAGTCAATTTGCAATTCTTTGAGATTTTGGAAAAATCATGAAAATTCTGCATTGGATGTACATAGTTTTGACAAGATATGTGCGCTCAATATGGAGAAGCATTCTATGGCAGCAGTGATTTCCCAAGCATTAAAGCAAGTGGGTGCACCTGAGATTTTAAAAACAGGCTTGCACCAACCTGAGATCTAATTTGCAACCTTTTGAAAATGAGAAAAATGTAAAATAGGCATATTTTGACCAATTTTGGACTTGATTGTAAAAATGAGAATTTTGCAACCAATTTAGAAAAAAACCTGTGGAGAACACTGGGCAGTCAATCTACTATTCTACTTTCTCTTTGAATTGCAGTGTTGCAATCAAAAGCTATTAGCATCAGCTCATCCAATCAAAGCCTGCCATAATGGACCCAGGAACCAGGAAGTTTAAAGAAATCAATGCAAATGGAACAACATGTGTGAAGATTTAATTCTAAGTAGAGAAGTGGAGTTTTTTGAAAGAATTTTTATGAACATGAATTATTGAAAAAAAGATAATGAAATTAATGTGGGACTTTTTTACTGCATTATCTAGGTGATTTAGCTGGATATCAGTGGTTATATCATGAAGAATGTTGCACTTTCAGAACATGATCCTCATCACTGGACCAAAGATGATGTTATATTATGGCTGAAAAAGTGTGCACGTAACTATGCAATCGATGAAATTTCGCCAGAGAAATTCAATATGAATGGTACGTAACAGCACAGTTTTAGATAGAACAAACATAACTCTGAACATAAATTACTTATTTTTATTTTCGTTTTTTTTATCATAAACAATGGGTTAAAATGTGCCACATGAAACGGCAGTCAGTTCAGCGGTAAATGCATTCAGTTATGTGATGAATCAATTCAAATACGACTTCTGTAGAACCATGACCATTGGTTTATCACTGAAATCGTGGATGAAGAACATTCTTAAATTCAGTTGATCACACAAGGCTATGAGTATTAGTTATAGTTTTTCTTTTGATATATTATTTATCTTAAACAAATCCCTATGCAGCTGTTGCTGTAGATGCTGTGATCTTACTTCACATTAATAAAAATGTATTTTTTATTATGCAGGTTATGCTTTGTGCATGCTTACAAAGGAAGATTTCTTAACAAGGTCTCCCCATGGTGACCTACTGTACAACACTCTGCAAGAGACTCTTAAGAATCTTCAAGGTATTTCATTTCTTAATAGGTACAGTGATCTCCCCAGGATTTTTTCTCAGGTGGGTGCAAAATTCTCATTTTCACAATTCAGACCAAAATTGGTCCAAATATGCCAATTTTTCATGATTTTATTTTTCTCATTTTCAAGTGGGTGCAAATGGATTTTCTGGTGCTTGAAAGTCTATTTTCAAAATTTGCGCCCACTTGCTTTAATGCTGGGGAGATCACTGAGGTATATAGCAGGGCTTGAGACTTGCATTGCCAAAATAGTTATTTCCTACCAGAGTGATTTGTGCTACCTGTCTTGGGAGACCATCATGCTTTTACAACAGACACCTGATCTGAATTATAGTAAAACAGTGATTTAGAGCACAGTTTTTAAAAAACGTCATATTTTCTAAGAACATCATAAAAATGTTTCATAGTCATATTTTTTCAATTAACATATATTGGTTTAAAAGTGGTAGAGAAAATGAAGACAAAAATTGACATAATCATGTTTTTCAATTACCATTGCTAATACTGTAGTCTTTAATTTTCTCCTACCATCCCTAATATAAAATCTGTAGTTGTATATGTAAAATTTATTTAAAATTTTAGATGTAGAAACATCTTTTTGCATCGTAAAATTATGTTCTTTGTAGGATAGTAATAATGGATCCCAATTGTAAAATTAGAGTAAAACAACATGTGATAAGTATTTTTTTAAATATTTTGAGAAATTCCAGCCATCAGAGGAACATGACTTTGAGTTTACTGCAGAAAAGCCGACTTTGATTTACATAAAGGAAGATTAAATAAGATAGCTATTCTCATATATTTATGTCAAGTATGTTGAGTAAAATCTTTTGATTCCTTGATGAAGCTCATTAAACTTACCAATGATCACTTTGATCCTATTTAAATGCTCATCTTTAAGTTTAAATTCAACTCTATTAATCATTATCTGGTTTTGTGTAATATTGTTTTAATGTATAAAGTACATACATATCAGTATTTTTGAACAATGGTTAAATAATGGCCAAATAAGTAATTAAAATTTGAAGATAGCTGGATTTGAATTTGCTTTTAATATACCCTAAAATAATCAACAAATATTTTTTTGCAACAAGTACTTTTTTTTAATTTTTTTTATTTAGAGGTGGAATGCATTCTTGTTTGCACAAAAAATAGAAAAATTATATAATCAGGGTTTGGTACAGAGAAACCAGTGGGGGAAAGGTCGGGGTAGATAACACAGGCCTGTCAACTGTCCCGCAATTTGCGTATTTGTCACGCATTTGCTGAAGAATTTTTAGGGGAGGTGTTCAACATTTCCAAGTCACTCATGTTAGGTGTTCCCAAGTTGACAGGCCTGATAACATGAGGGTATTGGAAAGTTTCCTTCTGAATATTCAACAGTTTTAGTGGTTCAATTTTCATTATGTATCTGATATTTATACATACAAATTAAAATATGTCAAGAGAAGGAGGATATTATCTGTCCTATATAAGAAAACATATTTCATTTTTTGTGATTTTATAACATGGGGTCTATGGGGAATCTCTCCGACCTAGAAGTCACATTTTCAAAGAAAATTAAATTTTCAAATTTGGTAAACACTTTTTAAAATCACATTTCTAGATGTGATTTTACATGCAGATATCAAATATGATATCACTTTGACTGAATTAAAAAAATTTAATGATGTAAATTAAGATTATTTCTACTCGCATCTTGTGTATTGTGTGATGTTGCTATTAAACCAGAGTGGTAAAATCATTGCGCCCGTGTAAAATCACAATAATTAGGGTAGTGCTTGTCTAAATGGAATGATGAAACTACTTAGTATACTTTCATAGTATATTGAGAACACTATAATTTTTATGCCACCACCAGAAATGTTGAAATTTTGTTATTGTCTCAAACTTTTTGTTTTAGACAGTCAACATTTGGCAGTTGGTGTCTGTAACAAATTGCAGGTTGTGACATTTTGCATGTTTAATGCCATATGAATTAAATACGTTTATATTCTCAATTTCTCTTTTGTGCTAATTTTCTCTTTAACATATGAACATATGAATGAGCATCCTGACTTCTTTCATTCTTATACAATGCATTGAAAAATAATGATTTCTTATTTTACATTTTTGTTGGAGTGAAATATTTAACTTAACAAACCTTTTACTTCCTTTAAAACATGCATAATATTTCCAGCTTTTGTAATAGAGCAAGTTGACATTTAATGTATAGTCTCGCATGTTCTTTCTGTTGTCACGCTGACATGTCTTATTCATCTTGAGTTTTGAAATGATCTCCTTGAGAAAAATATCACAGGCTCTTTTTAAAATGGGAATTATAAAGGAATCGGGGGAGAAAAAGAATAAGGAATAAAATATGAGCAAGAAACAAGCTAGAGACACGTAGTAAACACTTAAAATTGTATTACAAAAGCCAAACGATGAGAGTTGAATAAAGAAATTGTACTATTGAATTTGAAATTCTAGGAGGATTCCAGACACAGGATTTGTGCAAATACAGTCAATCACCCGAAGGTCACTCGAATTTCAATCCATTTTACAAAGGTTACATTGCACTTAGAAATAATAATAGTCATATAAAAACAAACTTATTTCATATTTATCTACCTTTAGGGCTGTCTGTTTGGTCTTAAGTTTCTATTAAACTTGTCATTAACTTTAAAAAAACTTCTGTTGACGTCTTTTCAATATATGGTCGTCAGATTTCATCTTATAAAGAATACAAATGAATGTACTGTGCGAAGTGAATAGAGATCGAATGAGTTTGCAATTTTTGAAGGTCATGCTTATTTGCATTTGATCAAAGGAAGTAATCAGAGAGTAAAAAATAAATATTTCAATTGAACTTGGTGTTCCTTAGAACTTATTTACTGCGTGATATCAACAGATTACTGCTTCTTGGAATTATGTTTGTGCTTACTTCCTCAATTAATTATTACTGTATGTTAATTCTGAATACATGTCGAAAATATAAAAAACATGGCATAAATAATCACAATATTTACACAAGTCCTATTCAATCAAAAAATTCAATGGTTATTATTCTCTTGGAATTGCAACATTACAAATAGCACATAGTTTCAAAAATACATAGCACATAGTACATGTACAAGGAGATCTTGAAAGTCCAGGAAGTTTGAGGCACTATTTCATTAAGTTACTAAATACATGTATATAAATGCTTTCATTTACCTTGCATGTTTATACTGTTAAAGATAAAATTAAGTAAAATAGTAAAATGATCATGATTTGAATTATAAAAGGGAAAAAAACTGGAAAAGCAAAGAATAAAATCAGAATCTATTGTAAATTAATGTAAAAATGAAAGTAAATCAACAATTTCATTCATATTTTGGAGAGAAGTTGTATGGAATAAGCATGAACAGAAAGAATATTTGAAGATACGGTAACCTTGAATAACCTCATGTTTTTTGCACATGTTTGTAACTTTTCCAAGGAGAATAAATACATCATGTATAAGAATAATTCATTGGTAACTAAGAGCATTTGAACTCCCTATATGTAATGTGGATTTACACTCACCTGAAATGTGCATTTGCAGACACTTGAAATGTGCATTTGCAGTCACTTGAAATGTGCATTTGCACTCACCTGAAATGTACATTTTCACTCACATGAAATGTACATTTTGCTCACCTGAAATGTACATTTGCAGTAACTTGAAATGTCCATTTGCAGTCACTTGAAATGGGCATTTGCAGTCACTTGAAATGTGCATTTGCACTCACCTGAAATGTACATTTTCACTCACCTGAAATGTGCATTTGCAGTCACTTGAAATGGGCATTTGCACTTACCTAAAATGTACATTTTCTCTCACCTGAAATGTACACTTGAACTCACCTGAAATGTACATTTTCACTCACATGAAATTAGGGGTCCCTTGTTATGACCTCACAATACCATACAAAATGATATGATACAACAGTCCGTAACATCAGAAATTATATGAAATGTGCCCTTTTTTTAGCTCACATGGTGAGCTTTTGCAATCACTCACTTGTCCGTCTGTCTGTTTGTCTGTCTGTCTGTCTGTCTGTCCGTCCGTCCGTCCGTCCGTCTGTCTGTCCGTCAACAATAGTGGCACGTTTTAAAACCTCTGTCGATAGGATTCCTGTTTTAAGTTATTTCTGTTCAACATCAATACAGAAAACTCCCCTATGACTCCTGGTTCAAAAGCTCGCCTATTTTCAAGATGGCCGTCACTTTTGTCTCGCGAAATTCACTTTTGACCCATTTCCTAGCTTTACAAATAATTTCAGGTGTCCTACATTGTAAAAATCAATGCCAATTTAAAGGATAGATATATGAAATAATTTTGTTACAAAAAATCAGCGAAATATTATATCTGTTTTTTTATTTTCAGCCATTTTAGTTAACATTGATTTGTCCATCTGTCTCGCGAAATCCTCGTTTGGACCATTTGCTTAAAATCTCTGTCGATAGGATTCCAGTTTCAAGTTATTTTTGTTCAACATCAATACAAAAAACTCCCTCCCCTATGACTCCTGGTTCAAAAGCTTGCCTGATTTCAAAATGGTCGCCATTTTTGTCTCGCGAAATTCAATTTTGACCCATTTCCTAGCTTTACAAATAATTTCAGGTGTCTTGCATTGCAAAAAGTCATGTCACTGTAAAGAGTAGTATATCCTTTTTTTTAATTTTCAGCCATTTTAGTTAACATTGATTTGTCTATCTGACTCGCGAAATCCACTTTCCGTCAATAACAGTGGCACGTTTTAAAACCTCTGTCGATAGGATTCGTGTTTTAAGTTGTTTCTGTTCAACATCAATACAGAAAACTCCCCTATGACTCCTGGTTCAAAAGCTCGCCTATTTTCAAAATGGCCGCCATTTTTTTCTCGAGAAATTCACTTTTGACCCATTTCCTAGCTTTACAAATAATTTCAGGTGTCCTACATTGTAAAAATTCATGTCAATGTAAAGAGTAGATGTATGAAATAATT